GGGGCGCTGCGGCGGTCGCCTGTGTCCGCGTGGACTGGGATCCGGGCGGCGGGGGTGACTTTCTGCAGAAAGGTGCAGACCCGGCGGGGCGCCCGGGGAGCAGACGCAGCTGAGAGAGCGGACCCCCCCCCCCCGCAGGGCTCCCGGCGCTTCGGAGGCGCCCAGATGCGGGGCGGGGGGCGGCCCGGGCGCGGGCCCAGCGCCTCCGTTGTCCTTGGCGCGCGGCGCAGGCGAGTCGTCCAGCTCCTCGGCTTGCTGGAACGCGCCCTCGGTGGGCAAACGTCGGGCTTGGCTGGGCTTTCGGTGCGCAGGCCCACGAACCTGTTTTCAATTCACGGGCGGCTTGCACTGAGTCAGACCTCCGGCCGCCTGGCCCAGAGTGGGTGCTTGTTCGTGGTGGCGGGCCAAGCGCTACAACCACCATCCTTCTGAGCTTGGTGGTCCTGGGCCGGGAACTGCTCGGAGAGTTTGCAGTGTGAAGGGGTATATAGACTGTATTGTTTGTTGTTTGGTCGTAAAGTCGTGCCTGCCCCATCAGGACCCTATGGACAACATTCCTCCAGGCCTTCCTGTCCTCCGCCATCCCCCGGAGTCCACCCAAGCCCACACCCTCTGCCCCAGTGACTCCTTCCTGCCACTTCATCCTCTGCCATCCCCTTCTCCTTTTGCCATCAATCCTTCCCAGCATCAGGGGCTTCTCCAGCGAGTCCTTCCTGCCAAAGTATTTGAGTTTCATCTTCAGTATCTGGCCTTCTAAAGAGCGGCCAGGGTTGATTTCTTTGCAATATAAACCATATTAACAAGACATAAATAGAGACCAGTTAAAGAATTTACTCAGAGATGGAAGGCTTACAATGAGCAATGCCAACGATTCTTAAAGAAAATATAATGTGTACAAATGCTCGTGATTATTGTTCTCTGTCAAAGCATTGTTATGATCCATAACTAGCTTTATAGAGGGGATACATTTCTGATCAAGAAGTGAATGGGGTGGATGGAGAGGCACTGACGGAGATGTTTGTTTATTATAAGTGTGTTTACATGAGGAATTGCTTGTCAAATTTCTGGAATGACCCTTGGCACCTTCTTTCGGAGATACTTTTTTCTTTTTCTTATACTTTCTGGAAGTATATGGAAAGATCTGGGGAGGAACCACATTAATAAACTTGGTTGCTTCTGCGTGCAAAGCAGGTGCCCCTCCTGCTGAGCAGCTGCTTTTGCAACAAGTGCTAATTAGCACCAATGAGCAGGGTTTCTGAGCATGACTCCACAGAACACCTGTCCGTGATCACGGGGTGCCCTAGCAAGTTTGCTGCACTTCCTGCAGCCGAATGCCATTCTGGAGAAATTCCCAGGGCCCCATTCCAGAGACAAGCAGGCTGAGAGCAAAGAAGGCAGGGCCCAAAACACCAGCTTATTGCAACTTGAAGCATTCACTTCCAGTAACTAAGCTTCAGGGCAAGTATTCCCACTGTTGAGGAGGGTGAAAAAAGAGCGCAAAAGCTAGAAAACAACCAACTTGGTGGTCAGGGGAAGGGGATCTTGGGGGGACCCCAGGGCTGGTTTTCACCCTGGTTCCGCCAGCTCTCCATGTGCTCCTTTGCATTTCAGATGCGCCTCTCCAAGCCCCCCAGAACTTTTCAGAAATGAGCCATTGGAAAGGAGGCGCCTTCAGCAGCATCCATGGCTGTTGCACAGAGCCAGAAAACTTGAGTCCAGAAATGTTCCAGCCAGAAATATTATACAGTGGACCAAGCAGTTCAGCACAATTGCATTTGAAGTATCTTCCTAGGATGTATTTCCTCATTTCCTTTTTAAGGCTCCTTAAATAAACTCTCTCTCTGCTCGGGGTATGGGGAGTGTCTGAAAATAAACACTGCCAAAGATTTCCCAGTTGCTGTAAATAGTCAGGGTGATTTGCCTGCCTTGGGTGAGTTTTTCTGTTTCTACACCCACAGCACTGCATGTGTCTCTGCTTCTCCTAGGCTGCTTGCAGAAGCACAAAAATTGAGCCGGTAATACAGCAACACATCTAAAATTAAGTGAGCAATAATGATTTCAGAAAAAGCCATTGTTTTTTCTTGCATTTAAATGTTTTTTTGCATTCATGAAGAGAAATACTTAGCCAGTTCATCCTACTGTTTGGAATATGGTGAAGACAACTGTAGCTTTGTGCCTTTGACTCAAAGCTGAGCTGAATTCCCCAAAGTCACATTTCCATGGGGGCCATCCCAGGAAAAGGGAAACAATACTGGGTGAATTCTGCAAATTCGAAGAACTTTTGAGGAGGGGGTTTCCACTTCCCTGAAGATTAGTGTAGTCTCCGGGGGCACTGTATTACACGCTTGACACATGCAGAAATGGCTGGGTCAAAGGCATCTGCCCAGCCCTGTCTGGCCCACGACTCAGACCCACGCATGCTCTTGACTTCCTGTGTCCTGCTGATGTTTCTTGCAGAGGCTTGAGGCATGATGCTGGATGATGTTACGCTTCCTGTTCCATCAGCAAAATAGTTGCTGTGCTGTGACTTCCTTGCAAAACCACCAGAGTACCATCACTGCATCATGTGGGAACTGGCTTCTGCTGTAGCTTACTTCTAAAGTTCAGAATCCTTCAGGTATTGTTGGACAGAGGCCCAGGGCAGAGAGGCAGAGTGGAGCCAGTTGCCTAGAGGGGTCGTGGGCTCTCCCACACTGGAGACACTCAAGTGAAACTGGGCAGTCATCTGAGTGGGATGGAGTGACGTGGTGTCCTGCAACAGCAGGGCTTGGACCCGCTGGGCTTCTTGGCCCCTTGAATCCATGAGTGTCACTCTAAGACCAGGGAGCCCTGGGCTCAAAAGCCCACTGGATTTTACTGGGACCAGTCGCCACTTCTCAGCTTAGCCTACCTGTTGTGAGGATAAAATAGGGAAAGGGAGGACTGCCGTATTTTTTGCTCTGTAAGACGCGCCTGACCATAAGACGCACCTAGTTTTTAGAGGAGGAAAACAAGAAAAAAAAATATTCTGGATCAAATGGGAACATAATCACCGGCACATTCCCCTCACTTCCCCATGGGCTGCACATCTGACAGACTTAGTGCACACACATATTCGCTCTATAAGACGCACAGACATTTCCCCTTTTGAGGGGGGGGAAGCGCGTCTTATAGAGCAAAAAATACGGTACATATCCCATCTTGGGAAAAGACCTGCACCCGGGTGTAATATGCACATGAGGCTTTGGGTCCAAATAGATTGTCACTCTAGCCTCTCAGGTCCAACCCCGTGGATTGGCTCACACTGACCATGTGCTGAAACCTGCTCACCTGCACCTTTTGCAGCTCATTCATAAAGTCCCTCTTGCACTAAATACGACAAATGTGAAGGGGAGTCAGGAAGAAGAGTTCTGATTGGCCATGGATCTGTAATGCGTTGCTATTTCCCCTCTAGGCACTTGCATCTGCCCGCCCACATCATGTTTTCATGCATGGAGTACCCGTGTCGCTCACCTACTGTGCAAAGTATGAAGGGATTTGAATGTGCATCACTAGCTTGAGGATACCTGCCCTGTGGTCGTTCCAGGCAGATCAGCTAGAAGCCGAGGCTTGATGGTGGTGCATCTGATCCAGACTCCATCATTTTTGGAGCAGGGGGGTTAATCCATGGGATGTAAGGGAGCCAGGACTAATTAAAGGTGCAATTCCATGCAATTTTAGGCAAAGGCCTCTAGACATTTTGCTGGGGCATGCTGGGAATTCCAGGGGATTTCTCTGTCCAGACTTGTGCACAATTGCACCCCAAATCCTACTGTTTTCAGGTGGTCTACTCTAAGCATTACTGCACCAGAGTCGGATCACTGGTTGGACAGTAGACTTGTAGCGCCGGCTGGACTCCAACCGCTTTTATTGCATTCTTGTCTTGGCTAAAAATAACTTCACTTTTTGCTGATAAAACACAGGCGATTTGGCAGGTTGTTGCGAAAATTTCGTTCAGATGCTCCAATGCAGCTCACGTTTCACTGTGGATTTTCTGCGGGCTTGGTGGATGCCAATTTTATTAAAGTAATGGGGTCTCCTCATCGCCCTCCTCACAGCCGGCCGCTCCAGGGAAGCACTGCTTAATCTTCCATCAATTCCGCAAGAGTGTCCCTCTCGCAATAATGACTAGGCCATTTCTGCCGTGCTCAGCATTTGACTTGCATGCCTTGCAGAAGTAATTCCAAGTCTTGAATTGCATGGAATGGAGTGCTGAGCGATTTGGCTGTACGCTTTATGGGTGCAATCCTATGCTTGTTCAGACAGAGTGGGCATACAATTCCCAGCATGCCCCAGCCAGCCACGTCTAGTTAGGGCATGATGGGAGATGTAGGATCTTCTCCATCTAAACATGCACAGACTGTTCCATAGGCAACATAGGAAAGCAATGTCATTCCTCAACATTCATTTTAAAAATGCCTGTTTGCATCCCAGAGATTTCTAGTATCTTGTCTTCGAACGTGTGTCTGCTGATCAATGTACCAAACTGAGCCATTGGAAACTGGAAAATGTGGCCATGTGGCATGGAATTAAAATGATCTGCTCTCTCATGTGGTCTTCACTTTCCCTGTGTTTCTTACCCAGAGAATGACACTTACTGGGCATTTACTAAATCTTCCTTGTTGTTACATGCAGTTAAGTCATCCCCAGCTTGAGATGGCCCTGTGAATTGAGCTGCTGCCCTGGGCAGCCCTCTTTAAATGCCAGGCCATGGCAGCCTTTATAGAATCGGTTTTCTATAGAATTGGCCTAGTTGGTCGTCTTCCCCGCCTTTAACCTTCCGTAGTACCACTGTCTTCTCCAGTAAGCCTTGCCATGATATGCCTGAAGCACAACTCCAGTTCCATCACTTTTGCTACCTTCAGCAGTGTATTTTTTGGGGCAGGGGGAGAACAGAGGGGCAAAATGCCTCCTCGCCCATTTCACAGCCTGCAAATGGGGTGGCGAAGTCCGGGTGGGCATTTTAATTCAGTTTGGCAATGAACAGGGCTACCTGCCCAGGAGAAATGGGGCTGGGACCCGATCAGGGCCTTGAGGCAAAGAAGTGGGGAAAGCCCATTCTTGCAAGGCATCTTCTTATGGCCATCTAGTTCTGGATGCCACCTCCAAGTCTAAGTTGCCTGGATTTGAACCTTGCTGGAACCTTATAGTATGTTTTCCTCAAACAAAGGCCAATCGGTCCAGTTCCGTGATAAGCAATACAAGCAGCATTCATGATTCCAGCTCGCCTCAGTCCTTTGAGTATTCCAAGAGCAATTCTGCCCAATGTTCTGCTCATCCAGGTCACTGCCTTTTCTCCCCGTCTGTCTCAAGGGATTTGTTCTTTGTTTCTGCAGGCCAGGTCATCTGCAGGGGAGGGAACCAGAGACCCTGCTACAAGTTTGTTTACTTTCACGATGTCCTGCGCAGAGTCAGTTTTCATGAAGCCCTCCAGTCATGCAGAAGAGATGGAGGAGATCTCCTCAGCATTGAATCGCCCTCAGAACAGAGACTGATCGAGAAGGTTATTGGGAGCTTTTCAGCCTCTGATGGTGACTTTTGGATAGGACTCACGAGAGAAGAGAATCTGGGCAACAGCACTGAATGCCCAGACTCGTACTTCTGGTCTGATGGGAGTTCATTCCCATTTCGGTAAGTCCACGGGCACGAGGCAGGAGTAAGACATCCCCCAAGAATTTAGGGGGAATGAATTTCCCCTCGTTGCAGAAACCAGCTGAAGCATCCCTGCCAAGCATCTGTCCAGTCTTTACTTAAATCCCTCTAACGATAGAGAACCCAACTACCTCCCTGGGCACTGACTGCTAGGGAATTTTCCCCAGTATTCAGCCCAAATCTGCCATCGTAACTTTAGCTCCTTCTGTGGTGCCCCCATAGTCTTGGATGATGCCTTGCAGGAAAAGTTGTCTCTCTTTTTTGTGGGACCCTCTTTCAGTATTTGGAAAGTGCTAGCAACTCTGAGCTCCACAGCCTTCTCTTCTCAAGGCTGATCCTGCCGATATAAGCAATAACACGAATTCTGGCATTCTAGACATGGTAAAATTGGCAGTCGGGTGTGCTAGCTTCAATACCTGGGAAGCTTTTCTGCCCAAGGAGATGCTCCACCAGGTGGTTCCAGGGTCCATGCAAGGACGCAGTGCACAGGTGTGCGGGCTTCAGCTGTGAGACCTTCCAGGCACACAAACCAGCCCTCCCAAAGCCAGCAGCTGCCAGAGGTGTGAGACACCAACTCCCATCTTTCCCAGCTAGCAGACCATCGACCAACAGAGCTGGAGAATCCCACGCTCAGGGAGCCCGACAGTAACAGAGGGAGCAGGTGGAAGGGGAAACGTTATCGCAGATGGATGTATCTTGCTTTCTGCACCTTTGCACTGGGAAATGTCCTGCATCCGAAGGAATCTGATCCGCTCCCCTGGCTGTCTGCTTTGTTTTCCCAGTAACTGGTATGCAGATGAGCCCTCCTGCGGAAGCGAAGTCTGCGTGGTGATGTATCACCAGCCCTCCGCCCCCGACGGTGATGGGGGCCCTTACATGTTTCAGTGGAATGACGACCGTTGCGGCATGAAGAACAATTTCATCTGCAAATACGCGCAAGGTAGGCTTGTGCAGGGGCCAGTCAGTTATGGTGTGGGTTCCTCTTGTATCCAAGAGAAAATGTGGAGAATAGGAGGCTGAGGGCTCAAAGAGGGAGCCACACGGAAAGACAGCTGTGCCCCGAGCCAAAAACAGGGGCCAGAAAGGGAGAACTGATCCTAAGCGGGCCTGCTCGAGGGGATTAATAGACCCATCTGGCTGCATCCTTGTTTGGATGAGCAGGAACTTCAGCTGCCCCCTCCAAAGCACATACAAACAATAAAGTGACTGTGAGTTAGACTGAGCGACAGGAGCCGGAGAGACATGGGCAGAGGGCGGACGTTTGCCCTGACTCTCTCCCGGAAGCCTTTAGCCTGCAGGAAAACAATGGGCACCCTTTCCAGTCTCCTCGAGGTCGGGGTAGCAAAAGCAAAGTCTTCGGCAGTTAAACACACACACCCCGTGATGCACCAAGAATGTTTCACTGACGAAGTTTGCCAATAAGGCTGGATCTAGCAAAATGTCTTGGGCTGAACTTGTACATTCACAATCCAGAGTGACTTCTGAAGAGCAGCGTGTTCAATTCTTGCTGTGTTTTTCCCTGCCTTATCGGAGCCAAAAGTAAGAGAACACATGTGTGTGTTTTGCTTTGCAGAAAAGCCAACGGTTGCCTCTGAAATGAATGCTTCGCAAGGTAATTTTTTTGTTCATCAGTAAAAGTGCAGGGCTAGGCCCCCAAAAGAAGGTTTTGGGGGCATTGCCAGGCAGGTTTAGACAGGGGCATGCTGGGAGTTTTTTAGTCTACACTGGCCTGGGATCATGTCCTTAAGGTTCTTTTCTTTTTAAATCTAAGCCCACTCCAGCCATTGGCTGTTTCCCCAAACAAATGGAAAGGAATAACACAGGTAAAACCTTTTGCCATATGAACCTGTACCTCTCACTGATCATTCTGAACACACAGGGCCGCCTTACCATCCAGGCAGGAAGCATTTCTCAAAGGTCTCAGCAAAAGAGAAGTTTCTAGCCCTGTTCTTTAACCAAGACAGCAGGGATGCAGCTGGGGGTCGTCCACAGTGCAAAACATGCCCCCCCCCACCCAGGCTTCTTCAGCCTTTTCCCTTCCAGATCTGTTGGCCCACAACTCCCATGGTTCCCAGCCAGCCACATGGCTGGGAATGATGGGGAATGCAGGCCAGGAAGAAACCAGTTTGCAAGGTTGCAGGGGCCCTTCTTAAATGCTCCATTATACCTGCCTTTGGCATTGTGAACACCCACATTTCTTTCTCAGGGGCTGAAATGGAGTCCTTGACACTCGCGCCTCCAGAAGAACCCACGCAAAACGAGATTACGAATAAAACCCTCCAGGTCAAAGGTAGACTCTGGCCAGAATACGGTCTCTCTTTCAAGGGGAACTTTTTGTTTCCTGAAGATCAGAGTGGTTCTTTGCTACACAGCAGAGTTTCTCTTTAAAGTATACTTTTAGTGATGCTTGATACATCTTACGCTGGAGGGGCAGCTCTCCAAACTTGAAATGAAGATATCGAAGTTCTGCAGTGAGTAAATGTGAGAGAGCCAGTGTGGTATAGTGGTTAGAGCACAAGACTGGGACTCGGGCGATCCGTGTTCGAGTCCCCGCTCGGCCATGGAGCCCACTGGGCGACTTTGGGCCAGTCACAGACTCTCAGCCCAACCTACCTCACAGGGTTGTTGTTGTGGGGATAAGATGGAGGAGGAGAATGATGTAAGCTGCCTTGAGACCTTTGTAGGAAAAAGGCAGGATATAAATTGGGAAATAAGCAAGCAAGCAAGCAAACTCAGGAATTTCATGCAAGAGGCTGCCCTTACTTATCCCCCCCTGAAACATCCCAACACGGTCTCTGTCTCCTGCAGAGCACTTCCGGAGCCTGGAGTACCTGCTCATCCCCGGCATTCCTGTGTTGCTGCTCCTTTTGGTCGTCACAGCCATTTTTATCTTCTGGCTTCATGCAAAGAGGCAAGTCAACACTCCAGGCCTTGGCCCTTGTTCAGACACAAGTGTTCCTTGGAATAGCACACTCATTCCTTCCTAGCCTCCGGCACTTGGGCTCTCGCCCTGATTTGTGCAAATCATCAGCAGCCATTATTTCTGAGCCGGTCTTCTGTGGTTAGCATTTGCCCTGCAAAGCAACGGTGGAAGCCAGTTCCCAATTCCAGTTTGGAGAGCAAGTACAAAAGCTCATTTGCCCATTCAGACATACCAGCAAGTGGTGGGTTGCCTAGAAGTGGAAAGCAGCGAGGGAACGGAAGTGCGTGTGGATAGGAGGTCCTGCACACTGGGCTAGCGGTATAAAAGCCAGACGGATGAGTAATACCCTGAAAAGAATAAACTGATTTTGCAATGCTCGTGTTGCCAATGATCAGGCAAGATGGAGAGAGCTGTGTAAAAGCATCCAGGATCACTCTGGACTGAGAGACTGCGCCCTGGCTGGGTTGGCTTGTGTGCGCAGAGTGTCTCTTTGCACCCTGAACTTTTCTCCCAGCGATGCAAAATATTTTACTCCCACCCATTAAGCATCTTTGTAGTGTTGTGCAGCACCAGCAATGGCACGGCAGGAGTGCATGGACAAGGAGCCCCCAGGGCGCCCCCAGGGCCCCTTGTCCACATACAGATGGTGGTACAAATGGGTCTGTCGCCACCAACAAGTGAGGACTCGCTTTCCGAAGGCCTCAGCACTGGCCAGATCCTGTGGCATGTTAAAGGAACAGATAAGTCCACACGCAGGTGCGTGAAGCTTCACCCGCTTGGCCAGGACTTGGCTTTTGCACTAGCCCAGTTCCTGCCATTATTAGTGCTAGGTGGCCTGCCTTTTGCTTCCAGGCCCCATTCCTAATGACAGAACGCTAATTTTATTTATTTATTTAGAATTTTTGCATGCCGTCCCATCGCATAGCCTCGGGACGGCTTACATAAAATAAATAAACATAATACAAATAGTACAAATACAATCCAGATTCACCCTGGCTGTGAACTAAAACCTATAGATGATATTAAAAGTTGTTCAAATATTGTTTAAATAAAACAGTTTCTTGCCGCCTCTCTTCTGCTGCTGCTAAGTCCAAATGCATGGATGATATTCCCACCTAGTGTAGCAGAACTGACTGTTCTTTCAAGGCAGTGAATACGTGTTTACTTTTATTATATTGTTATTATATATAAGAATGATACAAATAATGCTTTATTCTTCATTGGTCTCGGTTTTTCGTGGTTAATAGCTACTTCCTCTGTAGCAGCACCATTATGTTAGTTTCTTTCAGAGGAAGCATGACACCTGCAGGGGATGAGAGAAGGAAGTTAACAGATTTTCCTTCCTCCCCTCTCAAGGAGACGAGAACAAACAGCTGTCAGCACCAAGGCCTGTGACTCCTGGATGTCCCTGAAGAGCCAGGCCAGCTCCCGTCTGGAGGTGCACAATGTAATTCAAAAGCAGTCAGAGGCTGATCTGGCTGGCACCCGATCCGAAATTAAGAATTCTTCTTTCTGGGCCCGTGCTTCTGGAAATACTCCCGACGACCTCTCCGGAGAGTACGATAACATAGCTGTCCAGACCTCAGAACGAGGCTTTGGGGCGCTGGCAAGCACCGAAAGTGGATTTGTCACCAACGATATCTACGAACTCTGTAATGACCGAGTCGGGTGCAGCAAGGAGTCGTCCTGGGTAGAAAATGAGATCTATGGATATTAAAGCTGGCACTTGGGACACTGAGCAGAGTGGGGGATGTTTCCCGTCACTCCGGCTCTGACACACACAGAGATCTGCCCTTGTGGGTTTCTGCATATGGCAATGTTTAGGGTTTTATGATAAGGATTTCTCCTAAAGGGGAGCTTGAAGGGAGATAGTCCCTTGGCACGCGGACCACTCACTCAATGGAAGAAACGGCCTTGTGCATCCTTTGTCAGGCGTACGTCTGATAATCTACCGTTTGACAGGATGCCTGCTTCATGACAACATATGCCAACTTTCAAGCTCCTGATTTTTAATTGCTGAATTCCAGATGGAATTTTTGATGTTTTTTCCAGCTCTATGGTTAAAAATACATCGCCACCTGGCTTTTACCAGCTGCCTGGTTCCCATCTTTACCTGTTTTGTCAAACCGAGAGTCCAAGGAAGTTGTTCTTCTCTCATTTTTTGCTCTTCCTTTCTGCATGGTCTGCCTTCTTCTACCGCATTCTAATTAATGCATGACATGGAAGCAACTTCCATCAAAACTAGTAAAAGAATATGGACTTTACACAGAAAGAGACTCGTTCCAAAGACCTGAAATATGGACGAACTTGGAGTGCCTATGTGGGCAGTGCATTTTATCCTCGCAATGAAAGCATTTCCAGCCTGCCATTTGGAAGGATACTGCTAAAGTAAAAATAACGCGGCATCTGGAGAGAGTCTTTGACAAGAAGGCATGTTAAGTGTCCTTAGTTAATGTTGAACAATGGACTTCTGTGTTGGGTTTGTTCCTATGCCTTGACCAAAAGATTTAACAGCAGTCACTTAATTCTGGAGGAAACGAGTGACCAACTCTTTTGCCTTTCATGCTGCCAGCAAATGTGCGGAAAACCAGCCTGACTGTATTCCTGGAAGTCCGGATGTGAGCGGGATTACCATGGGTGGTTGGTGGACTTAATGTGAGTTGGAAGCATACAACAACACAACCTGTAAGAATCTGTTGTGGTAGAAACACAGGGAAACTCACCCATGTTTCACATTAGGGCTACATTAGTTGTGCTATTAGAAGACCTGTGATTGGATCTTGGAGTCCATCATCCCCTCTCTCCAAACCTGAAGGACTAAGGGCATCCAGTCAAGGGTGAGAAGAGCAACAGACCATTCCTGAGAAGAGTGATGGAGCAAGGCAGACAGAGGTGGGAATGTAACAGTTTGCCAAGTAAAATACAAGGAAGGTTCTTAAGTCATGACAGGGCAGTCTTTGGAGGGAAATCTCAGTTTGGTAGAACAGGGTTGGTCATGTGGAAGAGATCCATGCATGGATAGTCCCAGGTGATCTCAGATGAAGAGAATGGGATTGTGCCTGAATGGGAACAAAGCGGACACCACTCCCTGTGTTTTCCTGCCCTGTGTAGACAAAAGCCGGGACAGGAGATGATGGGAGATGGATGGGAAGCTCAGCCAAGACTGGAACCAACCGAGCCCTTCGTGGTGCTTCAAAGCAGGATTGGGAAGGGTAGGGAGTGAAGCAGTGTCTCTCCTTGGAGGCCACGTAAATACTAAGCATGCGGAGACGAGAGTGAAGTTCAGGCAAAGAGGCGCTCCCCATTCCTGCAAATGTGGGTTCGCCCCCACAGGGAGGAATAATGCTAGGCGTGTTCATGAGGAATGCAGAAGGATCCAATCCAAGACGGGATCTTGGAATGACGCAACATTCCTGCTGCCAAAACACAGAGAGAGGGGCAGACTCGAGTGTTCTATTCATGCCTTAAGATGCTTAACTTGGGTCTGGAAAAAAACAAAAATTGAAAAATTAGGGAACATCCCCACTCTCCCATGGCAACCACGCGTGCCATGCCTGATTTCCCCTGTTCTGTGTTTGTGCCTGTATATTGAATTTAATCCACATGTTCAACATCAGCAGGCCATGAACTTGGGAAGAACTTCCAAGGCTGTTTACTAGAGTGGGAGCAGGTGCCTGAATAGGAGGATGGAAAGTGGGTATCTCTGCACGTTTTGCCTCTTTTCTTACTGACATTTCTTATTCCTTTGGTGCCTTGCAGTGTCATTTTAAAGCGACCAGGAGAAGCTGACAGCACTTTCCCAAGTTGAGAGAAGCACCTAAAAGCGAAGGTGCCCAGGTCTTCACGAACTGCGGTCTTCCTGAGACAAGCACCACATCTTCCATTTCTGCCACTGCCCAGCAGTGCATGTCAGAGGAATGAACTGGCTGTCAATGGGACATGATGCTTCTCGGTCCTCGAACACTAAACAGAATTCTTTTATTTTGCTTTTTTCCAACCGTTGAGCCTTACCGTGAGAGATTTTAACTTTCATTTGGAAATGACCCAAGACGGACAAGGTCTATCCAGAGTCAAGAACAGGCTTAGTTTCTGTTTCTTGGAAGCGCAAAGCAAGATGGCAGACAGCAAGCGTCAGAAAATGTAAGGAAGTCTTCCAAGAGAACAATCCTATGCAAGTTTTGGCAGGAGAAAAAGCCTCCGCTTTGGTTGTAGAATCTTCTTTTCCCACCTAAACTCGCATAGGACTGAACCCTAAGTGCATTCCCCTTACATTTCAGTGGAAGGATGACACTGGCAAACCCAAGAGGAATAAAGTGCTTTGTTCCTGGAAATAAAGCAGACTACCCAATCAATGCATAATTTGTTCCCACGTTCAGGATTTGATAGCAGTATTCAGACAGAGTTCCAGAACTCCGCACTCCACCACTCCAAGGAAGAAGCGTGGCTCCGTCTTGCTTTGTTATTTGACGTGTGGCAGATGAAAGGTGTCAAGCCACCTACTGCCCCACCCTTGTGCCACAGTATTGACTGCTTCATGGATCCCCCAAAGTTTTAGGGCACACACACGAGATGCTTCGGGCAGCAGCTGGCTTCACTGCTTGCGGCATCACGAATGTTCGTGGACGTTCTTGTTTTGCAGCTTGGGGAACCCCTACAAGCAGCAAGGGAAATGAGGAATTGGTTTGGCTGGAAATCTTTTCCCCATCCCTGTCCTAGGCAAAGGCAGATGGCAAAAACGGACATTCCAGCTAACAGAGCAGAGGAGAAATGGAAGGAGCACAGGAGCACATAATGACAATGCGAGGAAAATGATGCCCTGGGGTTAGGAACTCATCTGGCAAGAGAGTTATTCTGCTGACCAGGGATGAGGGCAAGGTGGAGAGACTTGTCAAGAGTCAGAGAGAGCAGATGAAACAAGCCATGGGTTGCTTGAGGGTTGTCTGACCCTTGGTTCCTGCTGCCTGGGTTCACATAACACAGCGAGCTGGACACCCAGCACACCACAATGGCCCCATGGGCACATCCAGCCACTGTGAGTTCGCATGGAGTGCAAACCAGGGTGGGAAAGACAGGGAATTTAGGGAAAGATTAGCCAAGATAGATGAGGATGCCTGTGTGCTGCGGGCGAGAGGGAAGAAGGCAAGCAAGAGCCGGGGCTGATGGGTCTGGGGCCCAGAAGAATGCGAAACATGCAGGCTCCTCCTAAACTGTATCATTTTGTGCAATGTGATCCCCCCTTGTCTCCGTTTTCTGTGCATTCCAGCACCCAGTTGCGATCAAGGAATTTTCCCTTTGCTGCAAAAACTGATCTGCAGTTCACGACATTTGTCGTGTGAATGGCTGGAGCACAGCGTTTGCTTTCTTCGTGTAATAATACGGCTGCTAATCCTGTTCCCACTTCCCTGAAAGTCACCCCACTGCGCAGATACAAGATTGCTCAGTAAGTCCAGAAACATGTGCTCGGTCCATTCACGCGTATATCAGTCGGGAAGCACCTGTGAGGGAAATTCCCAGTCCAGGTTATATAGAATCTGTCCTAGAATGGTTTGTGCTTGCAAGACGCGGGCTGGGCTAGACGACTTTCAGGGCCACCCCGATGCCACGACTGACAAAGCCCGAGTGCTTGATTCCCTGAAAACCTGCAAGTGTTCTTTTTACTTCCCGCGTTGCTCTGGATCCAGACCGCCTGCTTTCTCATTCCACTTGTGCGCTTCTGAATGCCCTCTTCCGTGTCAGTTATCAATGAGTGCACAAGTCTTGCGGGAGAGCAGATGGCTGGCATTTAAAAAGGAGGATTTGTCGACGTTTTGGCTACATCCGCTTTGCATGCAAAGCGGCCGTGGCGCGAGAGTGAGCAAGCAACAAACACGTCTGTCTGGATCGGCCCCGTGCCACTTAGGAAAAGGCGCCCCAAATACTCGTGAGGGACAGGCCGAATGACACTGAGCAGAGTTGCCAAGGGGCAGGAGGGAAGCTACAGCCGCCTGAAAGTGCTTGGCTGCCTTCCCAATTTTTATTACACAAAGGGTGCAGTCCTATGGAAGTGCAGACAGCAAAACGCCTACAGTTCCCAGCATGCCCCAGTCCGCCTGGCTGTACATTAACTGTGTATTTAAATATACAGTTAGATGCATTTGCAATGTTTGGTGCTGCTATCTTTTAAGTCTATATGCATCTCTCATTGACATTCCTTTTTTAGCACGTTGTGGGTTTCCACATATTGTGCTTCTGGGCCCTGAGAAGCTATGCTATAGTTTACTTCTTAATGGATCTTTTTACTGGTAAATAAATAAAACTGCAGAAGTATGAGAGGGTAGAATTGGAAAGCACTGATGGCTGGACTCCCTGTAAAGTTCTATGACTAGGTAACCATACAAGAAAGCCCCATTTGGAAGCATCCCTGAGAACCGTACCTGTATCCCTTCGCTGCTCGAAGTAGACAGACAGAAGACAGCGAGAGGGCGTGTGAGAAAGGCAGAGCTTATATCTGGGTCACCCTAAAGACCTAAGACCCCACCTTGGATTTTGGTTTGCGGAATTCCCCCACTGATGTTCTGGACATAAATTATTGCCCTCCACCTCCCACCTCACTCCCCGCATGCCTTCAACATCCAAGTAATACAGAGAAAGCACCAACCTCTCCATAAAGGCTGATGCTGTTAAGCGGTGACGGTATTTTATTTCCTTCTGGTGCCAAAGAGAGCTAAACCAGAAGAGTAAGTTTAAACCGTCACCCACGAAGCCCAGGTTTTGGAAGAATGTGTTGTGTCGGAAGGAACTGAGGTGGCCCGACATTCTGGGAAGATCCCTCCCTCAGGCCCAGGCACAACAGAACCGAACCGAACCGAACCGCATGCTCTGGTGTGCATATTCTCCAAAGCGAGGCATGGTTGGTTGTTAAAAGGGATGTATGGGCAGGAGGCATTTACTTTCGGGCAGAAAGAGGAAGCAGGAGATGAGGCAGAAACCCAGCGAGTCCAGGGGTGTCCGGAAGCAATACAGTTTGTCCGGGTCCCAGACCTTCCTTTCAGCGAGCGGCCCTGGGCAGCAGGAAGGCAGGGCACCAGAGGAAAGATCTAGGTTTCCAGCCCTCCCCCTAGTCCCACTTCTGGAATGGACGCTGAACTGTGGTGAGCTGGCTTTGCCCACGGAAGCCCTCGCTGCAGCCAGTCCTCTGGACCAAAGCCTGCTGTTCGCGGCCGTTGCACAGTCTCTCCTGCAGCTCTGCCTTTCCTTCTCTTTCCTGCGGAGTTTCTCGGGAAGCGCCTGAGCCAGCTGGGTCCTCCGGGGTGCAAAACGCTCTGGAAATCCCTGACCATATGCACAGGGGGCTTGGGAGCCAGACACTGCTACAGGCAGGCAGGCTGAAATGTGCTAAGCGGCGGCTGCCAAGTGGTACTGGGGAATGGAAGGCAGCTGAGCTGGCGACTTCCCAGCCCTTTACTACACTAATTGTGCATTTTTTCTGAAGCCGTCAGTGGCATTTGCTTTTTGGTTATTTATTTAAAATGTTTTGATCATTTCTCATCCACATTTCCTTCTGAAGAAGGCCGGGATCATCTGTTCCTGGTTTGGGTAAACAGGAAACAAGAGCTGTGCGAGGAAACGCTGCGTCGCCAATCCTTGCGTCTCTGATTAATCGCTTTTCGGGTGGGACGGCAGCATTTTTAGACAGTGCGGGTGGCTTGCTGTCTGCGCAGACACCAAGTCAGCTTTTCGGCACGCCTGTTCCGTGGCGCAATCCCCACGCTGGGCAGGTTCACACGTCCCAAGAACCCATTGCGGGAAGTCACCGTGCGCTGCCCCACAGGGTGAAGCAGCCGTGGGGAGCCCGGCAGGCAGCCAAGCTCTTCGGGGGCCACTCTCTCCTGCTCACACCCCCTGCGCCCCCTCCTCTCGCGCCCCCAGGCACTGTCCCAGGGGGCACCCCCGCCAGCCGCAACCACAGCTGGGCTGTCGGAGGGTTTGCACTTGCAACGGGGCTCATGCCCCGGAGCACGTGGAGCAGGTGGGTGCTGAGCAGATCTCCGGCTCCTGGCTCCTACTGGGAGTAAGCCACTCTGGAGGAGCTGGGAGCTAACTTGGCAGGGATGCTCCGAAAAGAGGGATCTCCTGCCGGTCACATGGCATGCCTCTCCCAAGGAGACCACGCTGAAGAATTTTCTTTCTGTATGCATGGATGTAGCGACAATGCACCAGTACTGTTCCATAAATGCATCTTCTGCCAGAGATCTTAAAACCGGAACTGCAGCTGCAACCCAGTTAAAGAAACATTAATCAGCAATATGAATTTTAGCCAATAAATGGAATATTGATGGAATATATTGCAAGCCAAGCAATTTTTCAGAGGCAAGAATTATGCTTTCCCTGTTTTTGAGAAAGGATTAAGAACAAAAAGCAGCCGCGGCAAACCAAATGGGAATCTCTTCCTGCATTTTGCTCCCCTAATGGCCTGCCGGATGCCTGTGGAAGGGTTAGAAGCAGAACATAAACAGCAGCTCGCTCCGGGTCATGTCCAGCGATTGGTGCTGAGCAGGCACTGTCTCTCCTACTGGATACCAAATTCAGGGATCAAAATTAAGAGCCATTGTGCCCGTGAAAAGAAGGTTTGCTCCTTTTACGCAAATGCATTGCAACTGCGGTTTCTCTACGAACTTGCATTGTTTCACTTACTGTATAGAAGCTCGAGAATTTTGGGAGGCCATTTTTGCTCAGCCCTGGAAAGAGCCGGGGGTGGGGGGAGCACGAAGAGGAGCGCTAGAGGGCGCTCGTGGCTCATGTTTCACATAACGGGGCCATAATTTCTGGAGTCTTTCATAGAGGAAAGGTCATATTCTTGAGTGTTAAAAAGTTCTGGGTGGAAGAATTATGAGTGTTTGAAAAAAGAATAATTTTACAGGGCATTAAACCACCCTTAGGAAAGACAGCTTGGCTATCTCTCTCTATCTCTCCATTTCTCAGCTTTTACATGATGCATCATTTGATCCTTCCTGTTTGCTGAATTTTACCTCTTGCACAATTCCATGGAGAAATATACTAGTAGAAAACTAGTCATCTAGTCCACTAAAGGTGGGCCCAAAATTTGATCCCGGGTATGTCAATAATGGGCCATCAGACGTGTCTAAAAGTGTGTATATACATGCTAATTACAGAACACGCTGAGTTTGGGGGATCTGCTGCAGAGACCTTGGGTTGCATGAAAGAATAATTACAGATTAGTGCCTTAAATGAATGAACTATGACAGGGATCTATGAGGGGGGATAATGAATGGGCTTATGAGCTGAGCAGACTGTCTGGTACCACACCATGGCTTGATGGAGACTCTGCTTAGCATGCTTTGCTTGCCTCACCCTCGCAGAACGAGCAAGGCTGACTAATTCCACTCAGCGATTCCTTATCCACCAGAACCTTTCCTAGTGGATAAATCCAGAAGGCAGGAAAGCGACTGCTTGCAATAATAGAGTAAGACCGCTGTCAGAAATGTCCAAATTAAAAATAATCTGACTGACTCCAAATGTTTGAGAGAAGAGTAGGTAGACAGGGACTGGTGTATTATGTTTCTTGCATTTTGAGCTCCTTATACTGCAAATCTCCTAGGACAGCCAACCCACTGAAGGATTATTTGAGTCGTATGCTGGAATTCAGGAGCTCCTGGGGCTTATCAACTCCAGCCAGTTTCCCTGGTGTGTTTTTGCCTTGCATCGTTCAATGCTAAGAAGGAAATTATGGACAGAAATTAATAATGGAAATTATTAACAAAGTCTGAATGGAGAGACAGTTTGAAGGTCTGTCATGCAGCGGCGAGATCCATAAACTCTTGAATGTTACTCCAAAGAGGTTCTGGGTCCCTTGGCAGGGAATTAACTGGTAGGATGGCACTGTGGAGGTGACCGTCGCCTTCCGCGAATGTAGCTGCATGGCCAGGCATCCCTTGGGGACTCTCCAGCTCACCCACCACCGAGTTGCATCTTGCTCCTGAGGAGAAACGAGACACATTCAGCCGTGAGCAAGGGCTGATGCCACCTCCAGTCAGCTTTAACTGTGTAAAAGTAATTCTGATGGGATTCATAAGAGCCCTTCTGATCCAACGGACTTGGAGTGCATCGTTGCCCATATGGCAATAAAGGGGCTTGCTTGGATTATTTGTGGGCTCTTCTCTACATCGGGAGATGCAACCATCAGGGAGAGGTTAAACAAAGTTTTGAAAGCCACGGCAAGGATTGAGTCAAATGTGAGAAACTTCAGGAAACAAAAGTTATCAAAAGAGGATATTGGTTATTTAGATCCTGCCTAGTTTCCAGGGTTTATGGCAAGTTATATTTTCTCTTATCATTCTCACAACAGAGAGCCAGCATGGCATACTGTGCCGAAATGGGACTTGAGAGATCTTGAAGGCCCCTGGGTGACTTTGGGCCACTCCCGGACTCTCCGTCCAAGCTGCCTCGCAGGGTTGTTGTTGTAGGAAGGAAACGGAGAGGAAGAGGATCCTGTAAGCTGCCTTGTGTTCCTCCCACCCCTACAGCCCTTACCCCAGCCCCCAAGCCACAAAATCAGGATGGGGATGTATTACATAATTCGCCACACAAAATGAGTCATTTTGCAGTTGTGGGAACTGAAAAATTACCCTTTGGGTTTGGAATCAAGCTGGGCATACTAGCCAGATCGTATGCGTAATTGCGTAATCTCAAGTGCGGTACCCTTTAAAACCTTGGGTCTGCCTAGGTTCACACTGTAGAATGTACAACTAATGCAGTCAGTCCCCTGGAGGGTAAATGCTCTTTTGCAGAAAGTCAGCATTGTAGAATCTCTCCTCTCTTCCCATTAATTGAAAAGATTAGGGATCAAAGGAATCATTTGGGTGCAGCTGGCTACCACTTTCCGGAGACCATCTATCTCCTGCCCATGAAGTTGAATTCTCCTCTCGGTAAATTAGTATATGCAATGAAAAATCAAGGCACCAGTATAGTACTATTTATTTAATGAATTTATATGCCACTTCAACGGCCTGTACCTGGCCGCTCTGCGCAGCTCACAATATAGCATTAAAATCATGGTACCCATTTTTAGAGATTTTAAACAAAGCAGAACCAAAGAACTTCCATTGTTTGTTAGTCTGGATTTTCAAGTACCGACTCAGTGACTGGGGCCTAGGGCATGTGTCATGTTCTCTCGTGTTTCCATCCCCCACTCCACAAGCCCTAGACTGTTTTAATCCCTTCCAAACCACCACTGACTCAAACTTGCCTTATAACTGGAAATAGCTTGCAATTAACCAAGTTAGTTCTGAGTCCATAAAGGCTGCCAGGAATTAATTGTTTCAAGAATTATAGGATCAAGACAGAAAATGTTATGACACCATGAAGACTGGTTTATTCTTAGGCAAACGTCTTATTCTTTCTGTGCCTGTAATATCCAAGACCTGTGTATTTATTTCAACAGAAGTGCTTCCTTTTCTCCTGCCCTTTTGCAAAATGCCAGGATCCCACTGACTGCTATTTCTATTGCATTGTGGAACACGAGTCGGAGTTGCTTTCTGCAGGGTTGCGATTCCCTTTGAAGTGGAACGGCTATTTTGTTTCGATTCAGAGGTCGAACTGTGATACAGTCTAAACTAAACTACTGCGCATTCTCAACTCTCCTTTTGTGTATTTGGTCCTCAGCTCCCATGACTCACCTAAATCCTGAAATTATATGGTATAAACGCTTACCCATTCATCATCTCACTAAGGTCAGTGTATCTATTCTAGGTGTGGGAAGTGTGAGAAAAGAGGCACTTGGCTGCTACCTGCGAAGGTGCAATCCTGTGCATGGCTGGCTGGAAGGAAACCCTGCAGCTCACAGGATCCCCGACCGAGTGGAGAACAGCCAGGGAAGGGGCCGCAACTGCCAAGGCAAGGCAGGCGAGGCGAGGCGAGGCGCGCGAACGATGCGCGTGCCCGCGTCCCTGGGCGGGACCCCCGTCTTCTGCTCGGGGCCGGGCCCCCGACGCGCCCCAGTCCGCGGAGCCCCGTTCCTGCGCCTGCCAGAGCCCGAGCCAGCCCCG